CTCTCTCTCTCTCTCTCTCTGCCCCTCCCCTGCTCATGTTCTGTCTCTCGCTCTCTCAAAAACAGCTAAACGTTAAAAAATAAAATAAAAAGATAACACATATAGATGCATGTCTATTTCAAGAAGACATAGTTGACAACCACAGTAGAAATTAAGAGCTTTTAAAAAAACAAATCACCCAGTGAAAGGTTGTACCTATAAGCTACACATAAGGATATTCTGGCTATTGGGGATAGTGACGTTTTCCTAAAACATAATGGGCTTTTCATCAGGTCCTTTGAATTTCCGAGTGCATAATGAATGTATTTGGGAAGGTTCCAGCTACCTTCTGTTTCTCAGCCCCTCTGACTACCTAAAATGGCTGGATTCATGCCGATAAGAGAGGACGACGTTCTGGATCCAAAAGTGTTCAATCACAATGCTGTGAGGATGCTGGTCTGGCAGGCTGTGGGGAAAGAGCTCTCTGGCGCCACCTGGTGGTCTCACACAGCCACTGTCCCTCTGGCTGCGTTTCAGTCAGACCCAGATGAACAGAAACAAGAACAGATTTAAGGTCTTCATTTTCACAAGATCGTGGGCTTTCTTCTCGCACAAGATACACACTCAGGTGGCTTTAAGCCATTCAGCCGCCAGAAATGTGGGGGCCCTGAGGAGTGCACAGGCCACAGGATGTGCCAGGACAGGAGAGCACAAGTCCCCAGTTTGAGGGCCTGGGTGAAACCACTATGCCATACTTGGTTCTTAGTGGTATCCACCCTGGCCACCGCAGAGCCATGAGCATTAGAAGTGAGTAAATGCGGGGTGCCGGGGTGGCTCAGGTGGTTAAGCATGCGACTCTTGTCTTCCGCTCAGGTCATGATCTCTCACGGCTCGTGAGTTCAAGCCCCACATTGGGCTCTGTGCTGACGGTGCAGAGCCTGCTTGGGATTTTCTCTCTCTCCCTCTCTCTCTGCCCCTCCCCTGCTCCCTCTGTCTCTCTCACGCACAAAGTAAATAAATAAACTTAAAAAAAATTTTTTTTAAATAATAAAATACAGAGGTGCCTGGGTGGCTCACTCGGTTAAGCATCTGACTTCAGTTCAAGTCATGATCTCACCGTTTGTGAGTTCGAGCCCCACATCAGGATCCATGCTGACAGCTCGGAGCCTGGAGCCTGCTTCAGATTCTGTGTCTCCCTCTCTCTCTGCCCCTCCCCTGCTCATGCTCTGTCTCTCTGTCTCAAAAATAAACATTTTTTTAAAGTAATTTTTAAAGTAATTTTAAAGTAATTTTAAAGTAATTTTTTTTAAAGTAATAATAAAATACAATGAAATCTCAACCAAAATTGTACCGACGTTCTTCTCAAAGCTAGAACAAACAATCCTAAAATTTGTATGGAACCACAAAAGCCCCGAATAGCCAAAGTAATATTGAAAAAGAAAACCAAAGCAGGAAGCATCATAATCCCAGACTTCAGCCTCTATTATAAAGCTGTAATCATCAAGACGGTATGGTATTGGCACAAAAACAGACACATAGGCCATGAGATAGAATAGAAAGGAGAACCCGAAATTGGACTTACAAAATGTATGGCCAATTAATGTTTTATTAAAGAAAGAGTATCAATGGAAAAAGGAAGGAGCAGTC